CTAGAGACAAATAGGATTCTTTATTTGGAACTTCTTTCCTCTCCTGAACAGGGGTGTAATATAGTAAAAGACTTAATTTTCCATTGTTGGGATGCTGAGGCTCATAATATTGACCAACTTTAGCCACCATTTTATCTTGTCCTTTTATTTCACACTGTCTTTACCTAGGACTTTGTGGCTTCTTTTCTGACCGCTCACAAATGATCACAAGGAACAGGAGTACAAACCTTTTGCTATGACACCAAAAATAATAACAATATGTAACAGAAGGAAATAATTGAACCTAAGCAAGAATTATTTATGTGAAATATATACTTCTAGACACATATTTCTAAAGATTAATGCAATAGATAATATGTGAACATACTGCATATTCTACATGACTATTCTAGCAATGCAGAATTAGTAATGTTTCAAATATATCGACAGGGATGATGCTTCCAAAGGGCAATGTTTCTGGATAACAAAATGCACTTTGTTTTATTCTAAAGAATCATGTAAAGCACCAGAGGACATTTTGATTCACCACACAAATAAAACCGTGTTCATGCCTGAAGATAGAATTGAGTATTCATGTTTGGAAGGATATAAAACTGCAAATAACATGCCAACTGATACCACAAGGTGTGGCATAAATGGTGAATGGAGTCCAGCACCCGAGTGTCTCGGTAAATATTTTTGTGTTTGTTAATTAGCGTAACTCTGTATGCACTCTGTGAATCTTTTTTCTTTAAGACTTTCTTCGATTTTGTTCTAATCAGTAGCATTTCATGTACTTTCTGTAGGGTGTACATTATATATTAAAATATTTTGTCTTTGTGCAATGCTGACATTGCCCAATGGAGATTTTTATCCCAAGAAGGGTAAATACCCCAATGGAGATGTTGTGAAATTTACCTGTGCAAACAAATTTGTAAGAGTGGGACCTGCCTCTGTTCAGTGCTACTCCTTCGGATGGTTTCCGTCACCACCAGTGTGTAAAGGTAATTTTTCTGTGTGGTAGTTTGGTCTAGGCCTTCCTTGGTGACCAGTTTGTAACCAAGGAAGTGCCCAGAGTTACCCAGTATTCCCTACAATTTTTACGTAAGCCCGGGGTATAAGAAGAAAGAAGGAAAGGCCTTCGCTCTCTTTCCTTCTGGCGGCTGGGAGGTGCGGGTTTCCCTTTCCCATTTCCTTGTGAAATTGTATATAATTGTATATATAATTGTATATATATATATATATATATATATATATATATGTATATATATTTCAATTGTATATAACTGTAACATAAGTGTAAATATATTTATATATATTGCTTTAGCTGTCTCTCTCTCGTTTTGGTTTTTCTTGGTTGTTTATTTTCCCTCTTCTCCCTGAGGTTTGGGTGGTGGGGGGGGAGGACTTCTTGTGGTAAGGTTTGGAGTCTTGCCAGGGAGGGGAGGACTTCTTGTGGTAAGGTTTGGAGATTTGCCAGGGAGCCAGCTTCAAACCATATCATTCTGTTAACTTTATCGTAGTAGGAAATAGAATCATAGAATCAGCTGGCTTGGAAAGGAGCTCTGAGATCATCAAGTCCAACCCTTCTTTTTTTTTTTTTTGAAATCCAGTTTGTGTTTTCCCCCATTCCGTACTCCAGGAAAACCCAGTCCGTACTCTGGATAAAATCCAGTCCAACTTTCCCCTCCCCAACCCACCCCAAGAGGCCCCAGGTCCCCCTGACAGAGGCACCACAAGGTGCCAACCCCCCAAGGAATGAGGATGCCTTGGTCCTAAACACTTCTACAGACACCTTCTATAAGCCAGTCTTGCTCCAAAAGACAACCATCCTGCCTTTATCTCTAACAGACCAAGAACTAGGCTTCTTGGGATCATTTCATGGTGTTTTCCTATTTTGTGTGAAAGATTCTCAACAGCTGAGCTTTCAGTGTTGGAATTTCTGCGAGCTTTGGTTATGCAATATGAAGTTATGAAGTTCTGCAGTGACTGAAAGCCAGCTGGCAAATGGCTTGCACAAAATAGTAATCAGGTTATTGATCGTAATGTTTGAAAAATTATTTATTGTTCAAAGATGCATAAATAATGTGCAATATGGCAGCCAGGAGTGATTCAGTTGAGTAATGTTCGCTCTTACTATATCCTAAATGTCCTAAGTTTTGCCATTGCCTAATGTTGATACCTCTCAGATATTGTATCCTATGTTCTTTTTTCTAATCACATGATATTGAAGAAAAAAAAAGCTGGGCTGGAGATGGCACAGAACTGGACCCAAGCAAAAGAAGGATTTTCCTGTGAAATTCCTTAGCTTCATCTAGTAGTATGAATAAATTCATGCCGAAGGAAAAATATATACCTCTGTACTTATCCTTTTTAAGGCAGAGTACAACTTACTGGCATCTGAAAAGAGTTTCTTGTGCTGGTGCTACGCCCTTTCATGAGGCACATGGGCTTTCATGAAGCTTGAGAGGATAAAGGGACCTCATATTTCTGACTTCCCTTTCTTCCCACTCCATCAATTCCCTTAATAGGAGTTCCATTCACTCCATCAAAACTGAATTCCTTTAATATGCCCTATATATATCACTTGCTATGTGATTTTTAGAACACAGGTTGTTATTACTTGCAGAACTGTCAATTTTTATTTTTTTTTAAGAATACTGAAGTTGCCATCCTTGTAAAACATTTTTTCTCTTAAAACTGGGCTGGTTTTATCAAGCACTTTTATCATAGCTGGCATTGACAGTGCATGGAAGTAAGAGACATGAGTGATCTCCAGCCCAACATGAATCCAGATATTCAAAGGCGTAAATCAATGATCTGTTTAACCTGTTCCACTGATTTTTCTTAACTTTAAACAACAAATTCAATGTGTTTTATGTTGTACTTTACTGTGCTTAAAGTACTGAGTTCAGAGCATAGATTTGATCTCTTGATTTCAGTGAAGGCCAGAGGCTGTGGACCTCCCCCTGAAATTACCCATGGAAGTATTGCTGGTGGCTCTGAGGAACA